ATGCGTAGCAAAATGTAAAGCGAACACAAGAGGGCGTTAAAATGATTGTAAATACAATAAACACACATAGTGGCGCACAACACGTCGTAATGTGAGACAGACCTTACGTTTACATACACAACGCGTCGTAGTGTGTGACATACCTTGTGTTTACATACACACAATATGTCGTAGTGTGTGACATACCTTGTTTTTACATACACACAACACGTCGTAGTTTGTGACATACCTTGTGTGTACATACACACAATATGTCGTAGTGTGTGACATACCTTGTTTTTACATACACACAACACAGTCGTAGTGTGTGACATACCTTGTGTTTACATACACACAACACGTCGTAGTGTGTGACATACCTTGTGTTTACATACACACAACACGTCGTAGTGTGTGACATACCTTGTGTTTACATACACACAACACGTCGTAGTGTGCGACATACCTTGTGTTTACATACACAAAACACGTCGTAGTGTGTGATATACCTTGTTTTACATACACACAACATGTCGTAGTGTGTGACATACCTTGTGTTTACATACACACAATATGTCGTAGTGTGTGACATACCTTGTTTTTGCATACACACAACATGTCATAGTGTGTGACATACCTTGTGTTTACATACACACAACATGTTGTAGTGTGTGACATACCTTGTGTTTACATACACACAACATGTCGTAGTGTGTGACATACTTTGTGTTTACATACACACAACATGTCGTAGTGTGTGACATGCCTTGTGTTTACATAAACACAACATGCTGTAGTGTGTGACATACCTTGTGTTTACATACACACAACATGTTGTAGTGTGTGACATACATTGTGTTTACAAACACACAACACGTCGTAGTGTGTGACATATCTTGTGTTTACATACACACAACATGCTGTAGTGTGTGACATACCTTGTGTTTACATACACACAACATGTTGTAGTGTGTGACATACCTTGTGTTTACATACACACATGTTGTAGTGTGTGACATACCTGGTGTTTACATACACACAACATGTTGTAGTGTGTGACATACCTTGTGTTTACATACACACATGTCGTAGCGTGTGACATATCTTGTGTTAACATACACACAACATGTTGTAGTGTGTGACATACCTTGTGTTTACATATACACAACATGTTGTAGTGTGTGACATACCTTGTGTTTACATACACACAACATGTCGTAGTGTGTGACATACCTTGTGCTTACATACACACAACATGTTGTAGTGTGTGACATGCCTTGTGTTTACATACACACAACATGTCGTAGTGTGTGACATACCTTGTGTTTACATACACACAACACGTCGTAGTGTATGACAGACCTTGTGTTTACATACACACATGTCGTAGTGTATGACATACCTTGTGTTTACATACACACAACATGTCGTAGTGTGTGACAGACCTTGTGTTTACATACACACAACATGTCGTAGTCTTTGACAGACCTTGTGTTTACATACACACAACATGTCGTAGTGTGTGACATACCTTGTGTTTACATACACACAACATGTCGTAGTGTGTGACATACCTTGTGTTTACATACACACACCACGTCGTAGTGTGTGACATACCTTGTGTTTACATACACACAACATGTCGTAGTGTGTGACATACCTTGTGTACAATATGTCGTAGTGTGTGACATACCTTGTGTTTACATACACACAACACGTCGTAGTGTGTAACATACCTTGTGCTTACATACACACAACATGTTGTAGTGTGTGACATGCCTTGTGTTTACATACACACAACATGTTGTAGTGTGTGACATACCTTGTGTTTACATACACACAACATGTTGTAGTGTGTGACATACCTTGTGTTTACATACACACGATATGTCGTAGTGTGTGACATGGCTTGTGTTTACATACACACAACATGTTGTAGTGTGTGACATACCTGGTGTTTACATACACACATGTCGTAGTGTGTGACATACCTTTAGTTTACATACATACAACATGTCGTAGTGTGTGACATACCTTGTGTTTACATACACACAACATGTCGTAGTGTTTGACAGACCGTGTGTTTACATACACACAACATGTCGTAGTGTGTGACATACCTTGTGTTTACATACACACAACACGTCGTAGTGTGCGACATACCTTGTGTTTACATACACACAACACGTCCTAGTGTGTAACAGACCTTACGTTTACATACATACACACAACACGTCGTAGTGTGTGACATATCTTGTGTTTACATATACACAAGTAGCACATGTGATTATTCATTTCTCTACAGGTTGTTTGTGAACAATATAACCAAACTCATCGTCGACGATATTCACGATCATCTTCTCCAGGGACCAGGGGGACCAGAACAGCTTCTGTGGCGATGCCAACAACAACCACAAATGTCTAAGTATTCTGGAATATAACACCTTCCAAGAAAGTCTTCTTGCTATGGCTAATGAGAGTGATATCACCAAAGTTTGGATAAGTCCATCTGCTAGTTATGCTATATACGGGAACGTTAATGACGTAAGACTTAATTTTATCTGAGACAGAGGATAGCCATAAATCTATTATGCTGTATTGATTATGAACATTAGAAATAAGTTGGTGTTTCTATGGTAAAAAAACTACAGATATTTCAGAAATTGAAAGTATAGTTTGCAACGCAACGTTTGCTATACTTTAATGTAATGCGCCACCAGTGTTGAAATGTGGCTGTGGAATAGTATATATATGGACTAGCTTGTTCATTACCACCACTGAGAGGGTGCATGCGCATTCATGTAAACGTCACGACGTCCTTCGAATTCTAACCGAGTGAATTAACTTTTTTTTTTTTACAAGTTAACATATATATTATAACAATAATGAACGATTTATATGTTGTTTCTGGATTGTACCAAAATATTGTAAAAATGAAAGAAAACAACTAGATTTTTTTTTAAACATTTCAATCTAATATGACAATGAAGTACGGTGACATTATGAACACATTGGCCGATCACTCGATTCATTTAATATGTCATTATTTTTCTCAATTCCCAGACAAAAGAGTATTCGGAGGATATTCCAACCCAAGTCATGAAGGCGCAAAAAAATGAAAACGAAATCAACGGAATGCGTGAAGGAAACGTGAGTGCTGTATCCACACTGCCATGTCTTTGACGTACACATTGAATGTATCCACACTGCCATGTCTTTGACGTACTCATTGAATGTATCCACACTGCCATGTCTTTGACGTACTCATTGAATTAATAAAGTGCATTGCACTTGCATTTAAATTTGTTTAATTTGTACCGATATGAAATTGTAAACATCAACTTTTGTTTTGGAACTCACAAATCGACAAATGTTACGTACACATTTCTATCGTTGCTGGGTATTCGATAACCTGGGGTCCTCCTCCCAATTCACTCGCAATCATTTTCGCAACAATTTGTTATCACGCCGGTATCTGTTCCTTGTCCACGTTTAACAGCAGTTATCTTTATTATACAGTTACAAGACGCCGTCGCTGTGATCGAGTGGTTACATTGGATGGAGGGCGCTGTTGTCGAATCTAATGGTGATATTGAAAAACTAAGTGAACTTTCTGCAGACGCAAAAGTACTGGAATTTAGAGAGTATGTATATATTCTAATGTTGAACAACTACACCAAAAGCAACAACAATTCTCACCTTTAGATCGGTATGCTAAACGGCGATCCTTGCATTTGTTACTTTGCATGTTTTTTGAGTTAAACAGCTTATTAATAGTGGCGTTCACACACAACTTCTTAGCTAAGATGTCCAAAAGCTTAGCTCGTGCTAGGAAAACTGCTAAATGCTAATTTCGGATTAAATCTGGCCGTTATTAAGACCTGGCCTTAGCACGGGCCAACGAAGTGTATGTGAACGATTAGCAAGGGCTAAGCGTTCAAAACGTCATTGCATTCAATGTTCATACGGAAGGTATACTTACATTCATAACTATTCATTTCGTTGTGCCATTTCTGACATGACGATCAACAAAAACACAGATTGAGATTTTTCTTGATAAAACATTAACTGAGGATGAGATTGTTTGCTACGTCCTGTAATTGTTTTATGACTGTAGAACTAACATGTATAACAATTCAAGCCACTCTACTGAGCAATCATAGTTAAAATGATTGAAGATTTTGTATATTTTATTATGTTTGGGCGTTGCTTAGCCCGTGCTAACCACTGTTGTACTGCAATTGTTTCTGTCTAATATGCAATCGTGTGAGATTAGCTTAAATCTTACCCCGTACTTGTGTAGCGTGAACACTATTATTGACCACTGTGTTGACAGTGTAATTTGTGTTACCATGGAAACAATAAATCTATGAAACCCAGTAACCATAGTTATACCAAAGACATTATAAAAGATACATAGTAGTTATATATGTTGTTGATGTGCAAGTTTGTTGACTGGCAGTTGTATATTACAATTATATTTACAGGAAGCAGCCAGATTTTGTTATGCGCAGTTTTGGTTCAATTTCTGCTTTTGGTGAAAATGCTGCGGTTATTCATTACTCGTAAGTCCAATATTGTTCATTGTTCTAGCGATGCTTGGCTTAGAATAAATCTGAACGAAATACCTATTATAACATTACCATTAGGATTAAAATACGAGGATACAGAGGTGCCATCAAAAGCATATTTTTATGAATGCGACTGGCACGTTCGGGTACACGTATTAATCAGGCGGAGTCTCGAAGGAAAAATCATATTCGATGGCATTCTATGTTCGTTACTTGAATGTTTTTCTTATTGGTTTCTGTTATACTAGTGAGGTTGTTACCATCACTTTCGTTCACAGGTCAACGCCGGAAACTAACGTCGCCATTACCGACCAAAACGTATACATGCTGGACTCAGGTGGACAATACCGGTACGTTTTACATCGCTAGAGAACCATAGGATGAATTAATATGTATTATAGTTGCAGTCATAGTTTCTGTGTATAAAACCTCTCACTGACCCCTGACCCCCTGTAAGCAATATAGGAACTGTTAGGTCTAATCTAACAGAATCCTGAAATCCGAATTTAAAGAAACCTCTCGAAATACAAAAGTGATACACCTAGCAAAATTACACGTGCTATTATCTTTTGGGATTACAACAATTTAGTATAATTTGGTGATACCACGACGCAAAAATACGCTGTTTTTTGCCATGCTAGCTTCAGTGCTCTAAAATTTAGGATTTTGTTGACAAACTGATTGATTTTATCAGTTGTCTTGGTAATCACATTAATCAGTGGTAGTAAGTAGGTAGTACGCATATAGTAAATAGGTAGTACGCATATAGTAAATAGGTAGTACGCATATAGTAAGTAGGTAGTGCGCATATAGTAAGTAGGTAGTACGCATATAGTACGTAGGTAGTACGCATTTAGTAAGTAGGTAGTACGCATATAGTAAATAGGTAGTACTAGTAAGTAGGTAGTGCGCATATAGTAAATAGGTAGTGCGCATATAGTAAATAGGTAGTACGCATATAGTAAGTAGGTAGTACGCATATAGTACGTAGGTAGTACGCATTTAGTAAGTAGGTAGTACGCATATAGTAAATAGGTAGTACTAGTAAGTAGGTAGTGCGCATATAGTAAGTAGGTAGTGCGCATATAGTAAGTATGTAGTGCGCATATAGTAAATAGGTAGTACGCATATAGTAAATAGGTAGTACGCATATAGTAAGTAGGTAGTACGCATATAGTAAGTAGGTAGTACGCATATAGTAAATAGATAGTACGCATATAGAAAGTAGGTAGTGCGCATATATTAAGTTGGTAGTACGCATATAGTAAATAGGTAGTACGCATATAGTAAGTAGGTAGTACGCATATAGTAAGTAGGTAGTACGCATATAGTAAATAGATAGTACGCATATAGTAAGTAGGTAGTACGCATATAGTAAATAGATAGTACGCATATAGAAAGTAGGTAGTGCGCATATATTAAGTTGGTAGTACGCATATAGTAAGTTGGTAGTGCGCATATAGTAAGTAGGAAATGCAACATTATTCCATTGTTAATGTTGCTGTGCTAATAATAAGTAGTTTCGAGGGGGCATATATAGGGTAATAACGTGATAATGAGTAAATGAATTAAATATTACACTATATGAATAATCATCTTCGTCTTATATATGATTGTGTTACAGTTGTGGGACCACAACTGATACTACTAGAACGATGCATTATGGGACGCCAGCAGACCGCCATAAGGTATTTGTGCAAGGCACCCTAACGCCAAAGCGTTTTTTGTCGTGTCATCATCATGATAAAATGTTAAAATCAATGTCATTCAAAGAGGAAACTCTTATTTTAATATAACATTATAGACGCAGTAAACGAACTATACATCACAGAAGCACTCTATGCATAGATTCAAACATTATTAACATTCTTTTGAAATATATATAACATACTAATAGTTCAAGCTGAACGGAAAATAGTTTGGACCGTCAATATAATGTTTAATATTCCGAAATAATGTCGTAAGTTCAAAAAGGAAATGAAAACGGGATACATTATTGATATTTTTCTTTCAAAAGAAGGCATGTCATCTCAGAAATCAATCATTACTTGCAGTGCCGAAATAATAAAATTATCATTCGGGGGATACAAATCACTCAATTATATCATATAAAATATATTTAAATAAAGATTGAATCTGGATAATACACACAATTTTCTTGTCGCGTCTTAGGAAGCCTACACACGTGTACTTCAAGGGGTCATTGATCTGTCCAGAAGCATTTTTCCACATGGCAGAACGGGTAGGTCAAACTTATTGGCAACTAATTCTTGCCAATTACTAAGTATATATTGCCTGAAAGAGGAGGAGGAGGAGGCATCAGACAGGCATCAGACTGAGGCTGAGAATATGCGTGTTCTTTTGTGACAAAATGTCAATAAATCAAATCATGTTTACTGACATAGACCGACATACAAGTTGAACAGAAAGAAACCTACTTGGTTTTGGGGAAGGGTTTCTTATGTATCCACAGCCCCGAACCGAGGTACCTATATTCGAAATGAGCATCTTTTCGCGTTAATGTCTCTTCCAGGGCCGCTATTCTTAAAGCGCGGTGGTTCTCGCGCTGCGCATGTGCTACATTTTTGTTGATAAACATAGATTTTCTCACAATCCAGTGCGCTCTTTAAATTGAAATCACAAGTATGAGGTTCAACCTGGGCGCGACTTGCAATCAATACCGCTGGTGACTCCTTCTATACCTTTCAACCACCAAAAAATACCTAATTAACGCTTGGGAACGTCTCCGTTAGTACTCGTCGATCTGCGCAACAGTCAAAGTCGCCATCTATGTTTATATGAGACCCATTCGTTGCTTCACTTGTTTGACCGAATTAACATTTGAGAACACACGGACGACTATAGAAAAATAACATAATGTGAAATGTATATTAGTAGTTAAAGTATACAAAGATTCTAAAACATAAGTCCGTATCAATTATAAAGCAAAGCCTAACATATCACAACAATGCTAATCAGGGACCCTAGACATTTCTAACTAGGAAAAGCGGAGAAAGGAAACGCAATGCCTCGCCCAGCAAAGGAGGCCGGAATGCTTAACCGTATAATAAAATAAATTAGGGCACCTTACCTAGCTAGACGCCTGGCACAATAAACTACACCGACAAGACTAGCCGAGCATAGCAATGAAGAGGTTGCACCCAGCCTAGCAACTATGACAGATTAAATATTGTTTAAATTTCTTGGATCTATTAAATCAGCGCACATCGCCAAGCAAAACAAGACAGGACATATAATATTGTACATTATGCAATGCTGTTGTAGGAAATATACGTTTTTTTTTAATATGACAATTAATTCTAATCTGTTTACTTAGGTCGTGATGTGGACACCCATGCTCGTCAACAATTATGGAATAATGGATGGGATTTCAACCATGGTACTGGGCATGGTTTAGGTGCGATGTTGAATGTGCACGAAGGTAGGGTCAACAGGTCAAATCATGTATTACCGTGAGTGAGCGTATGTACTGGTATAATGTGTAAACTAACAAATTGTGGTTTTGTATATTGCATATGATGTACTGATAGTTAATATGACATCCAGATCTCACGAGATCTAACTAAACATAGTTTATGTGAATCGGTGGAATAAAACGTAATTACAGTGAATTTACATCACCATAACAATAGCGTGTTAACCTCGGGGTTAATACAACTTTCACATTGAAAAAAAAAAACTGTTGCAGAAATGTGGAATATAATCAAGAATTGTTTTTCAGTAAAACTGTGCACAACAACATTCCATTTTTAAAATATCTAAAGAATACAATTTACAAATCACCAGTAGAATAAAATAAGTATACTTAGCGGTATTGATATACTGCATTGTCATTGTCATTGTATTCTATTGTTTTGCTGATTTGTTTAAATTACCACACTGACGTTATGGTATACTGCATTGTCATTGTCATTGTATTCTATTGTTTTGCTAATTTGTTTAAATTACCACACTGACGTTATAGTATACTGCATTGTCATTGTCATTGTATTCTATTGTTTTGCTGATTTGTTTAAATTACCACACTGACGTTATGGTATACTGCATTGTCATTGTCATTGTTATTGTATTCTATTGTTTTGCTGA